AGTTCTGATCCTGACACAGTTCGGAATTTTCTTGAACTGAGCAAGTCCTTTCGGAATCCTAACGATACGCACCTCCTGACTCCAAAGACGGTAGCCTTCAGCCCTCGTGATAGTGACATACCATCGGTTGGATTCGTTACATCTGCTCAGAGGTACAGACCGGTACCTAATAAATCTAAAACCTATGTTTAGCCCAGGTCCCTAGGGGGCCACGGAGCAAACAACCTACTGCACTGCTGTGCACATGTTTTAACTGTTTCGCACTTATGTCACTTCATAGCAAAGGAGAACGGGCCAATCCAACAACATACCTTGACGTAATCCATGTTAAATAAAGCCCTGGACGTATCCTTTCGAAAGATGCTGTTAGACATCCTACTCTTTGTACTCGTTCAGCTGTAACACCCTTTTGGTTTAGCTGCCGTGCACCCGAAGGAAGTACGAGGGCTGAGATACTGCCAGGTTGCCTAAGCCTAGACAGGGAAAGTCGAGAGGCAGATATGGTTTGGTAGGGCCAACACTGGGCGCCTGTGTTAGTTGTCGAACCCAACCGGCTTGCCAGATTGGCTGATAATCTCTCGCTTCTCTGAATCAATTAGATTACTGATAGTTACCACCGTCATACCATGCGCTTGGTATCATTTAAGGTTGCAAAGGATTCGAGTTAATAAACCTGAACACGAGTTTAACTATACTGAACAATTATAATACACTACGAGTTAATCCAGCCTTCATTTTCTGTACATGCTACTTTATATATGGGCTAACGATTATGCCCTTTGGGACCGACACACCAAGTAGAGTGCGCTAAGAAGGTGCGCGTCTCGTGAGACCAATGAAAGCCTAGTGCCACAATGGTAGCCGTTCAGGTAAATTCACAAAATGGGAAACAATTATGACTGGCAAGCAAGTTACAGTGTCACCTGTAATTCGAAAGATACTTACTTTTCCATTGTAGATGAGCGAAGTTAAGATTACTTTTTTAGCTGCCTCCACAAGAATGCAGCTGACGGAAAACGATGGTATAATGAGACACTGAAAAGAACCGCGTTGGGAAGTTCAGTGCAACATACTAACTCAAAAAAGTGTAAGGCACGTTCCCAGTTTTTTAGAGCGCCATAAATCATTCCACCATAATAAAAATAAAGAAGATAATCTTTTTGATCTACAAAAGAGTACTGTCGGTGTAGTAAAGAATTGAAACTACGTTTACCCACATTCTTCTCGATCTCTAAAATATCAACATTTAGAAGCGGCAATACAGGGGAAAATAGTCTGGCAGATAATGCCAGCTGGCAAACGTCGCTGTGGAGAGAAGTTAACTGTGAAGGGGACCGCTGGAGCTTTTTTATTCCAATCATTAGAGACTCGATCCCTCTAAATGCCACATTCCATGCGATCAAGCGATTTGTAAACTCCTGCGATATAGTTCGGACTGCCAATACTAGCCTCAGAATCGTAACTTACCATATTGGGACATCTTTCTTGCATCATCAACCGAGCATTGCTCGAAAAAGGATTGCGTTTGAAGTATCAGAACTTCTCTGTCTAGTGACAGTTGTGACAGGTATTTTGCCCGCCTGCATAATGAAAAAGGATCAAAATGATGGCTCACAAGATGCCTGCGTGCAGACATGTATACTTATCAATGTCGTAGCTGTCAAAGATGCTGTCAAGATTGGAGGCGTGTCTCAGTAACAACTCATTTGACTTTTCCACTAACTCCTTCAGTTGATTGAAGGCTCCTGAATGGGTATGTCAGTGGGTAAGTTATCGGATACTAACCTCCAGTCTTGTTAACGGCCGTCACAAACCCACCCAAGCCACTTGCGATCATTTACCTTAGCTTGTGATAAGTCAAAATCGCACAGTCGACGAGAAACCGCGTGGAGCTGAAACGGG